AATATTTAAATATTTATATTTATAAGTCTGCATGATAAGTTTAGTTATACATTTTGTTTGGTTAAAAATTAATGAAAAATATATGTATAATATATGTATGCATGTATAATCGAAATTCACTCCGAATCGTTTTTCGTTGGCAAAAATTTATCGTTGGTTACAGTTATAAATTAAATACTCGTATGTATCCCACCTTCCCAACTACCCATATATAACAGCTGCCGTACCCGTCCCCAGTATCAGTTCTTTTTTGTATTGTATTTTCGACTAAAATGCATAAAAAAGGTTTTAATAATTATCCTGTTTAAATCAGTGGCTCGATATTTTTCATTTTTTTGTACAGGTTATCTTTAGTATGCAGAGAGTAAATAATAATTTTTTGGTGTAGTAATTTTTAGTATTTTTTTGTTTTTAATTATCTAAGAAGATTTAAAAATTTCGTCATCATGTCCCATGGCTGTATGGTCTCTGTTGAATAATGTTCTGTGGGTACATTTCGAGTCTAATATTTAAATCAACTCGGTGAACATAATTTGACTTATATTTTCTTTAATTTATAAATAATTTAACAATTTAACTCATTATTAAATTGGTAGGTAATTATCACATTAAATTTATAAGGAATTTAAAGTTACTATTAAGTTAGGAACATATTCCTAATTAATAACCTTTTTAATAACTTCAAATACAAATATTTTATAGTAAATTAGAAGATAGTGACAGTTATTCAGGTTCGTTATCTTGCCCCCGTCAGTTTACCGCAGCATATAATTTTGAGCAGATTATTATTTTTAACTTAGAGTAAAATAAAATTTCACATACCTAAATTTTAGCAATAATTAATCGTTGCATACAGATATACATTAAATTTCCTCTTCCCAATTTCTTACCAACAACAGTGGCCTACCCATCGTACGAAGTATGCCCGTTTGTTTTCTAATATACATTTTCTTGAAAAAAAAATTGTTGTAATTTACTACCTACCTATCGTATTTCTTAAACCTAACCTAAACGAATACAAGTATTAATTAGGAATATCTTTATTTTGAATTTATGAAAATTTGAATTTGCTGTTTGGTGAAATGTAACTTAATGTATACATATTTACATATAAAATTAACTTTCAGTTAATTCGCTTGACATTAGTTATAATTCTAACTCATTAATCAACTTACTTAATTTCTATAATTTAATGTTGACTTGTATAGTTTTATCTCGTTGCTATCCGGTCTATAATGGAGTAGTTTTAACGAATTCGATGAAAATAGGTCGCCAACTATTATGTATAAGAAATTCCGAGGATTTCCAATTTCATATGATTTTATGATGAAAAATTTAAGTGTTAATTTATTAAGCTGTATACATGTATAACAAGTACAGAGGTCATCCTTGAGATAAAAAAAAAAACATAAAAAAAAAAAAAAAAAAAAAAAAAACAAAACAAAATAATCAGAAACTCACAACACTGTACGTGTAACGTAGTCTATATATTATACTATTTTAACATACTGAAGCGACGGCAAACATTTAGGGGAAAAATCGCTCGAGACCCTTGCACGAATTATCCGCGTCCTTATTTCCACGGTGGATTTCTTATGACTGCAATATTGCAATTATAAGTAAATAGGTGTAGATGGGTAGGCGCACATTGTGCGTATACAGTTTCGCGTGATTGACACGTGTGATTTTCGCTTAATTTTCCGGCAGAGAGACGATAAAAAAAATGCGGAATGTACACTGGCCACTATATATTATTATCCAAATGCGAAATAAAAAGGTACACATTGTGCATCTACTTCGAGCGAACGCCACGCCCCTATTCGTTGTCCTTGGCTTACATAATTGATAATAATTAAACGAGATACTATACGCATTATGGCAAAATAATATTATTGTTTTCTGTATGTACGATTACGTTCCTTAACAGTTACCTCATTATGGGTAGTGTGCGTGTGTATTAGTATTACCTGTATTAAGTATAACATTAACATTATTTGATTTGGCCTATTCAACGAGCGCGCGTTGGTGTTTTTTTTTTTTGCGATAATCGGTATTTTACTGAAAAACACTACAACACGTACGACATTTGATAAGAAAAATAAAAAAAAAAAATAGCCGATATTCTCAATTGGTGTGCCACTGTTTTACGTATAGAGGAAGGTAAGATACACGGTTATTAAATTTTTTAATTGTCTGTACGCAATGGTAGAATATCTAAAATTGTCACATTTTTATCGCGGTAAATTTGTCCGTTTCGGGGATCATAAAATGATCTCCTCGACTATAGATCTAAACTTTTACAAAAAAAGCCTGCACGTAGAAAAGCTGTTCACAGATAGGAAAAATAGAAGACCACTCGCCCCACTCAGAATAGTATAACATGTGAATGGGTTTTGGCGCAACTGCGGGTCGTGTACGGCAGTAATATGTACGCCAACATATTATTTTTACTATGTTCGTAATGAAAAAATAAAAAAAAATTGCGATTAAACAGTGTAATTAACATGATATTAAATTCGCTCGCACAGACAATAATTACGAGTTCGTAGGCCAATTGATTCGCACGGTGTACAGTATATTTATTACGTACACAAATCGTCAACTTTTTAAACGACGCAGGCGGAATGCGACGTGTTATACCGTAGACGTATATTGCATTATACCTAATCTCCTTACCCGACACTAAAATCGTGACTAATATACGAAAAACGCATTAAAAAATATGTACGTTATATTATTAGGCATGTACTAGGTATATTTCCCGCGCTTCGTTCCCTTATGACAACTATACCTATACGTGTATACAATATTATAACATATGTATATTTTTAAATCTGTTTAATTTCCGTACTGTGATGCGTCATGATATATTATTATTCCGGTTGTCATTTATCAAGCACCATAATAATTGATATATTATGTAAACTATCTATTTCAGTTTATCGAGTACTTATTGAGAGGTGGCACGAACGTGGTTCCGACAGTAGAAAAATGAGAAAAAATATAGACCGAGATGGTTCGGGTAAGTCATGAGCAAGTCGTGGCGTTCAAATAATTTCGTCATGGGGGTGGAAGAACATGCCGTACACTACCGTATTTCCTACGTTTTTTCCGTAATTATTTGGGAAAGTTATATCGGAAAATCGAACAAAGACTTTCTCACTCACAAACTTAGACAAAGATTTCTGATAGAAAAATAAAATCTTAAACATTTCAAATAATGGAATCGTTGTGGCGTAATTTGAAGAAAAAAAAAATCGTATTTTCCGTCTATTTTGTTTTGGTTTTTCCCAGTTATCATGAAAACTAGATATCAAACAATTGTAATTATAACACTAAAAGAAATGTTGAATAAAAAAATTAATTTTCTCCTTTTTGAGAAGAATTGTATTAAATTGTTTGTAATTATTTTTTTATGATCATCATATAATAAACATCCAACTAATGGATATGAATCAATATTATAAAATGTACATTTATATTTAGCTCTTCTGTCAGCAAAGTTAATATTTTCTTTATTTCAGATAATTTTTTTTTTTTTTTAACATTAACCGTATGGCGTATTAATAACTAATATCACAAATTGATAAATACTATTTTAATTTAAACAATCGTAATAAATTATTTATTTTATGTTTTTTTTTTTTTTTTCTAAATAAGTCAAATACGGAGACTTGCTAGTTGAATAAAATACAGGACAAAGTATTAATAGAAGACAATTGTCTGAAACTGTAGACATTTGAAACATTACAAAGTAAATAATTATTCTATTTTTATAGTGAAAACTGTAAAATAAAGAAAACCTAGTAAAACTTTTGAAATAAGTAATATAAATAATATACGTATATACAATAATATATTAATTATATTATAGTGAAACAAATTAATTTCATTATTTAATTAACCATAAGTATGTATAATTCGTTTAAAATTCCTATATAATACAATTTACATGTTAAACCAGCTACGCTACTGTGCGCCGCGCCATCTGGTGGTCGTTTAATTGTACCACTCTTTTCGGTAAAGTTATTTAAAATATGATTGGCCGTACGAGTTTGGTGTCCTTGTAGTCTTCATGATTACTGTCCACTGGTATTAGACATTGATAGTGTAAGACCAATGATATTATGTTTATCGATGAACATAGAAAAAAAGAAATAAAAAATTGTAAGAAAGCATTTCTTAAAAATGCGTGAAATATGCACGAATTACCAAGTATGGATTTTTTGTTGAAAATAGTAAAAATATGCAAAAAAAAAATACATTTTTAACCTCGAATGTGCATAAAACGAATTTGTAGCTTGATCTAGCATAAAGAAAAACATGCAAATCCTACAACTTCCGAACCCTAGTAATTAGTACATACACATAAATGGAGACAATACCGAAAATATTAGTGCGTGTTTTGATAGAAGAACCGTTATCATTGGATGACACATTGTAATCTGTGGAGGCGGTGCCGTATAGCTAGGGGGCCACTGGAGACACGTGCGAAGACCGATGTTCTTCTTTTTATTAACTATTCATGTTATTTAGGTGTATTTTATTATTTTAAAAAATAGTAGGTAATAATACAAATTATTAGAGTCTCTCCGAAATTTCTCCATGTTTACGGTTTACTGAACGGAGGGGAGTAATTGCAAATTGTATTCATTGACTTTAAAACTTTAATTTGTGTCTATTATTTTGGTCTTCATAGAGGTAACAAATTTGACAATAATAATATAGGTAACGCCAGTTACGTGATAAAACGTGTAAACGTTATGCCCCAGAGACCTTAAAACATTTTTAAAGAATGCTGTAGTTTTGCACGGCTATTTTTAATATTTGCAATGGACGTAATATAAATTTAGCCGATTTTCAAGAGCTGCCAATCGCCCGAATCGTCACAACCCCCAATCATTTCAACGGGTAGATTACACAATTAACAAGTTGTGTAATAGTGTAGTATCGTCATTCGCCGTTCAACCGGTGCCGCTGCCCAACCGTACGTCAATATTAAAATTGTCGGATTGTTAGTACAGAGATATGAAGTATGTCATAATCGGTGTAGGATTTCTAGGTTATTATAAACATAAGTTCACGGACGAGACCGAGGTATGATGAAGCAGAGTTAAACTAGTTGAAGTATTTATTTTGCATATTATTATAATTTACAGTAATATATTGTTCAATTGTATTTTCGATTTATTAAGGTTAACTAAATATTTTGTTTACATGTTGATTAATTTGAATTATTAATTTTTTGAGTACGAATAACGAGACGATTCCTCTCGCACAAAATCGAATATAATGATATTGAAATCAAACGGCTAATACTATAATATTATTGACTTAATGGATTTATTGACCCCAAAACTAATTAGTAACCTGGTAACAATGCAGGCAATTATTATTGAATATATTCTAATTCCGAGAATTTGTATCAAGTTTTTACTACTATAATATAAATTATCATAGGTAACCGTTTAATAAACAGTAATTTTTAATGTAAATCGGAAAAAAAAAAACCGATCGTGCAACTTTTAAAATAGTGGCGACTTTCCAAATGAGTCGAGTGAGTCGCTGCCTCGTCTGTCGTTTTCTTATTACAATAAAATATATGTGTTTTTATGCCATCTTTAAAACGAATTCCGTTCAAAATAATTTATTACTGAAACAACTACAAATAATAATAATAATAATAATAATAGTTCCTCGTTCAATATTTCTGATAGCATACATCTTCGTCTCTCTGTGTACAAATTAAAACTATTTCTCCACCTCCTAGCATTGTCGTTTTCAAAATAATTACCTCGCCACTTACAAGGCTCGCGGGCCGCCATCGTTTTGAAAACGTATTTAAATTACAGTAGAAGCCGCTTATTAGGAACATTTTGCGACCAAGGTGAAACGTGTCAATTAACCGATTGTTTCTAATAAATATACGACCGGTCCGTTTCTATACATTTTGTTTCAATAACGCGATTGTATCAATTATCCGCGTTCCTAATAAGGGGCTTCTACTGTATATGTTTTTTTTTTTTTTTTTTTTTTTATACTTTTACTGTTTTACATTACGAAAATCGGTTCTAAATATTCCGTTTGTGTGCAGGTTAACAGTCGTGTTGGATAATATCCAATATTCGGTCTACATACGAATTTATATCTTAGATATATGTTCTAATGATAAGGGCCAAAATATCGTTTATCTTCTCGCATAAAGTGCGTACCAAGAAGATTAATCACGCATGCAATTTGAATTATGACTAACCCATTTAACTTTGTTGTGGATATTCATAAAATTTATACGTTTAATTTAAACAATCAATAATCACCATTAAACACTAGGGCATTACCTATCAACTAGCTGCACCTGAAATCCTAGAACACGAAAATAATGATACTATATTATATTTTTTTAGTCAAATTTTTGTTTGAACCGCAGTGAATAATTTTTTCATTTAATAAAGCCAATACAGGATATGGATAGACTAGATAATATTTTATCTCAAACCGTACTGTGGTTATCTATATGGATTTTAAATACACGTTATTGCATATTTCTTCGGCTATTATGATGATTTCGAAATACCTATTATTGGGTTCCCAATATTTTTCCCAAATCGAAATTCCCGAACATCGTTTTCTCGAATGGCATATTATTTTCCATTTTTACAAATGTATTGCATATCTATCTTGATGTAAATTTGCACACTTGACATTCAAAACAAGGTAAAGACTGCTTGTTTATTTTTATTTAAAAATTAAATTCCTAAAGGATGGCTGACACTGAGGGGAGAGATGGTAAACTCCTACAAAAGTAGGTAATCTCCTGCATTAACATAGTGTTAAATTCTAAAAAAGATACTGTTAACTCCTACAAAATATAGTGTTAACTCCTACAAAAGTTAGTGTTAACTCCTACACTAGATAGTTGTAAAGTTGTAAAAAGTAAAAAAGGTACAGTAAAACTTCCGTTAACGGTCATCTCTAAAAGCCGGTCACCTCTGTGTAACGGTCATTATTTTCGGTCCCTTCGGTGACCGTTGTATGGAAGTTTTACTGTATTTTAAATTAAGTAAAAATCAGCCATAAACTTCAAAAATCAAAAACAAAAAACTATAATATAATTTTTTTTCTAGTTATTAAAATAAATAAAAATCAGTGATAAACTACAAAAATAAGAGGTAGAGATTGTTGTATTTCTAATTTACGGAAATAATGTAGACGTAATCAAAATGTTCGAGAATTTCCGGTACGATGCCTTACATTAATATGTTTACTAAATTTTATTCTAAATTCGTTTACATTCGCAATTCTACGAATATTTATTCAAAAATATTTATCATTTTTCCATTAGAGAACTATTTCTGGTAAAAAACGTCGTGCGTATTAATTTGAGGTAGTGAAATCGTAAAACCGTACGTTTTTTCCTACTTAAGTACAATAATTTCAAATATACACCATTGTAAAATCAATATACATTCCTCGCTACACTCAGAATCTAAAATGTAAAAAGGGACTATGTAAGAGTTTACACTATGTTTTAAATACAGGTAAAAAGGTCATATTTGTAGAAGTTTGCATGTAGTCCACTGGGGTTTTGGAATTTTAGGACAAAAAATGGAATTTTTTTTACAGACAAGGAAGTACCGCTAAAAAAAAAAAAAATTCCCTGGAAACAATGATTAATTGTTCAATGGATAAGAGTGAAAATGGAAAGGCACGTTAAGTTGCGTTGGACTTTTTATCGATTTTTATTGATATAGCTTCTACAGAATATTACATTCAGTGGCATGCCCAGGTTTTTTAATAAGAGGTAATGTAGTAAATTTAATGTTAACGTTTCTTAAATAAATCGTAGAATATTCCTCTGTTATATACTGCAGTGACGGCCATTTCTGCCTTTGGTTATTGTACACTTTAAGTAGAATTCAATAATGTTACAAAACTAGATCAGAAAAATGCGTATGCATAGATACAATTGTCTGATAATGCATATGACGTCTGCACACACCAGGAAAAATTATCCCAAATATCTTTTTATTAAAAATTAATTTAATTTAAATTTGTACGTAGTGCAAACTAAAATGCAATTCAATGACAAATGTATAATATGACGATGCGCTTAATATCTAATACAGTAATATCCAACTAAAATATTTTAAATAAAAAAAAGTTGTAAAGTTAACCTAACATGATTCGAAATATAAAAAACTATAAAGGAGAAAATTATTGAGAGACGTGTCAGCCAACCTCCTCGTGGTGTCTCTTGGGTAACGCTAATGGGCTGAAGTGTTCATTTAACATATCATCATACACATTTTAATTTATCATATTACTGATGTATAAAAATAGTGGAATCAACTCGTACATACCTAACAGAAACCCGGGAATCAACTAGTACATAAAGTAAGTCTTGGGTATCAACTCACCAACACCGAGAAATCTCGCTCAGATTTACAACGACAGCAGTTTTTCTGAAAGGAATTCTTACCGGGAAGGTACTTTAGGGAAGTCACTTTTCGATTTGAATGCTGTGAACAATCAAAGCATTCGAAAATATCGGCTTTGACTACACTTAAAAGTTCCAAAAAATCAGAATTTGTATGCATGCAAAATTGAATAACAAAAAAATGTGGTGAGCACGCTTGTGAATTACCCTGTATATCTCATATACTTGATTCCACACTATAAATATTTATTTTTATGTTATCTTACCGAATCGGTATGTTGAGTAATGGGAGGGGGGGGGGGTACGCATATAGGTTTATCATGATATCGATTCGACCCATTCGAGTATGAAAATGCGGACCATAAAATAAAGATAAGACTGACTGCGAGCTGATGTGCGGACCACCTATAGGTTCGGACGGCGATTCATGTGAACTGAACAGTTCCGTATCGATTGAAAAAAAAACAAACAACCTATCTGTTCTCTCCCGAATTATGTTTATGTATTTTGCATAGGACCGATATACCTATATGCACGTACAGTTGTCGTAAATATCAAAACGGGCGTGTAAATATTTAAAAAAAAAAAAAAATAAACCTACCTCTATACAAACACGAGTTTTCGGGTTATGCAATTTAACGACCGGCACATGCTGAGAAAACGTGATGATGGTATACGAGACCATCGTTCTATTATGTTATGCACTAGTATTATACACGTGAGTAAGGGATTTTAGTCGGACTTCGCGAAACGATAAAATAAAAATGCCAGAGCGGAACTATATGGTGAGTCGTATAATAGGTTCGTGGTTTTATCGTTTCTGTTTTGTAGTTATACGCCTGTATAGTTTACATTTACTATCGTATTTAGGTGGATGTGCTATGCCATATTCTGGCGGTTCCAATTTCATTGTCCGCCTTGCCGCATTTCACTGTACGCAGAAATACTATTAAAAGCCAATACAGTGCGATCCATTTATTACCACGAGCCAGCGATTTCCTCCGAGGATTTTTAGTGAATTTTATTTCTGTTTTCCCGACCGTTGTAATACGGTACCGTTGAACATTAATTTTCATTTTTTCCCCTACTCCATATCATACCTTACGCGAGTAAACGCTTTTAGTATTCAAACAGGGACCGCAATGCGAACAAAGTATCGGCGGACATTTAAAATATCGGATTTACTATTTACGAGTTAAACCAGCTTAAAGTTTCGACCGGAGGACCCATTCATTTATCATATTTAATAAAACGTATTATGGCATTTAAACTTCTATACTCTTCCGGAGTTTAACAGCCGAAGATAGGGGTACACGAGAGAGCTACTCTCCCAAAGTTGGACATTTAGACTACCGTGTCGGCAGTCCAAACATATTTTCATTATCGATTAGACAAAATTGCCGATTCACAGTTTTTAGATTCTGAGCAGAGCGGAGAATGACACTGGTAATACTAAACTGCGGTGTTTTTATTTTTATTTTTTGTGTTTGTGTTCAGCAAATTTTCTACTAGAAATCTTGTTCACATGAAAAAACGACAAGATACGTTTTTTGTTGAATTTTGAATCTAGTCGGTGAGTTAGAAATCAATGTTTTAATTTTCCAACCAATTTTCATAATAATTTGGAAAAACCGGAAAAAAACTTAGGAAATACGAGAAAGTTTACGGTTTATAATGCATGATATAGTTATTTTCGATTTTTGGTTTTTTCTTGTAAATTGGTCAACATTTATCGTTGAGAGTTGAAATTTTAACAGAAGACTTATATTTCATTTTTCTAGACTTGTGTCAAATTTTCAAAACATTATAATTTTTGAGGTATTTTATGTTTGCGAGTTGTTTTACGTAGATTTTATTTGATAGATATCATGTGGATAAAATTGTTTGACCAAACAGAAGTTCTTGAAAATTTAATCTGAGGTTTTGATCAAATTTTGACGATATAATTGTAAATATTATGGCATTTTAAAACATATATGTATCTGAAATTCATTCAGAATCGTATTTCATTAGCAATGATCGTTGCTTTCAGATATTAATTAAATAGATTAATGTATCCTACTTTTAAAACTTCCCACTTACAGCAGTGGCACACTCATCAACAGTTCAACACTTTTGTTTTGGAATTTTAGATGATTATCGTTTTATTTTATTATTATCATCGAATTTATTATTGCCCTTCAAAAGGATGAATTCATANTGTAAATTGGTCAACATTTATCGTTGAGAGTTGAAATTTTAACAGAAGACTTATATTTCATTAAAATAAACGCTCAATTATAAAAATCTGTTAAAATAATAATTATTGTACTTACGAGGCGTGGAAAAACCGAAAGCGACTTGAACGCACACTTACGAGAAATGCGCTGCTCTACTAAGAAATATTGTAAGGGAGGGAGGGGGGTTCGTAGGAGTTGTGGTTTGATAATAGGTAGTTTTATATTGAACCCGGTACCCGTGTCCGGTGACGATACGGTTTTCATTTTTTTTCTCGCCCCCGAAACCGCACGACTGCGACGTTTAGTTACAGTTACAAGACATTACCGCGGCAGGGTTCGAAACGGCGCGCCGGGACGTGTGTCGCGCGCGTTATTGTCGTCACGCGCGCACATCCGTCCCAAAAGAATTATTATAATGATAATTCTGCGGGCGTTATTATTATTATTATTATATTTTTCGAGTCGCGGAGAATAACGTAATGTTGTGTATAGGGAGAAAAAAAAAAAAAAACAGAGACGGACAATCCGAAGGGGAGACGGTACGTACGCGCGCACACGGCGTTATTATTTATGTGCGTGTGCGTGTAGATACACGCGCATACGTACCTCTTGTACAATGCGTATATTACGAAACGTCAGCTGTTCGCGAGGCATTCATCTCTCGTCTTTTACGTACGTATAATACGTATACGCGCGCGTGTGTGTGTGTGTGTATAGGTACGGCGCGTATTCATCTCGGGCACGGGGCGGCGGCGGCGTTCGCCAAACGGCGATCCGTTTGAAAATCTCCGGAGTACGAGGACAAAGGAAAAGAAAAAAAAAATCCGAAAAAAAAAGAAAAGAAAAGAAATAAAAATAATAAATCCGAATTTTCGTAGTGTACCACAATGACGACTGCGCGTACGATCATCGCAGTGACGGCAGGGGGATGGATCTCGGCGCGCAACATGTGTGCGCTCGCGCGACGGCTCCGCGCGTACGCGTACCCGGGGCCGGGCGCGCGTGTCTCGCGCGTTCCTTTCTCCGTTATTATTATTATTATTATTATTATTATTCGTCTCTCCCCGCTCTCTGGCCGACCGTTTTCCGCGGTCGTGCGTGCGTTCGTAAACACGAACAACTGGATTATTGCCGCCGCCGCCGGAATCGTTATTATTATTATTATTATTATTATTATTATTATTATTACTCGCCGTTCCAGCTGCCGCCATCCGGCGCGAGACGGGCGGCGGCTGCTTGTGGACGCGTCGCGTAAGAACGTCCCCGCCGCCGCGGCCAACGACGACGACGCGCGCGTGTACAATTATACAAACGTCGAGCCGTGCGTTGTAAAAAATCGTAGTGGAAAAAAAAAAAACCCGAAACGCCACTGCCTGCCCGCGTCGTCCGTTGACGGTGTAATAACGATAATGATAAATTAAAAATATTACGCGAATATGAACATATTGCGATACGATCGTTACAGACGGCGTTGTTACGCGCAACACCAAAGTCGGCTCGGTCCGGTCGGTCGGCAATGCGAAATATCCGCGGCGGCGGTTCGGGATGTGCGCGTACGCGGGACGCAGCCGGCAACGGTCCTTTGCCCGGAGTCGAACGGTCACCGGTGTTTTCGCCGTGACTTTTTTTTTGTTTTTTCCCAGTGACGTTAGCTGCTGCCATTGCGAACGGACCGCAGTCGCAGCAGTACCGTCCGTCCAGTGACAATCGCATCCGCCCTGGCGCGGGGCCACTTTAGTGCGCGGCCCGGTAACGCGACCGCCGTTATTCTGTAACCGGACGTGAGTTTTTCCGGATTTTCGGACAACGGCCGAAGGAACAAAAACGACATTCCTCCGTACCGTGACCCGGTCGCGTTCGGCGTCGGAACCCGCGGAAAACGAGTCCCCCGGCTACAGCGTTGAATTATCGAGCGCGAAATTCGGCAATCGGTCCGTTTCGGAAACGCGCTGCGCGGGAACGGGTCTGAGCGCGCGTTCGTGTCGAAACTGAAAGACCGCGCGCGTAGGCGCAAACTAATGTGAAAAATTCCCGAGGGGGACGGGGACTATAGCCTCGAACAAATTTATCTGCTTAAATTTTTGAAAATACAATATTGTATTGCATTGTTCTAGTTACGTTCGTCGTAACCGGGGGCAGGGGGCTATTTAAAGAACTGGAAGGACTCAGCTCTCCCAAGCCCCCCTCCCCCTAGTTGCGCCTATGACCGCGCGCGTGACGAAAGCGCTCGCAATTTCCATCTCGACTTTTCGCGGAATTTTTCTCAGCCCAAATCGTATTTGAGAATAATCCGCGTTTCTCGGTTGCACTGCGGGCGAACCATTTGTCGATTTTGGTCGTTTTCTCGGAAATGTGAGTTTCGATTTTTTTAAAAAAAAAAAATATTTTCATCGTAATACGAACGACGTATAAAATACAAAACAGCACACACGTTTTCGTCACGATTAATACGATTTACCTCCTGCGCTTGTGGACTGCGGCGGAGGACGACGAGAGTCACGTTATTGAAATAACCATCGTGAGAATTCGGGAATAAATACCATCGAGAAGTATCATGCGACAAAAATAATACACGCGCAGCGTATAGTACCAATGCACAATAATTCGATTAGTTATAGAATTAAACGTCGTTGACGACGGGGGGGGGGGGGGAAATAGAGTGAAACATTACGTTAACCGGCATTGGAACGAACCGATTGATGGGAATAACACTCGTACGATATCGTTGCGGCGGGTATGCGGGTTTCGGAGTTTACAATAATTCCTCCCCCCCTATCCCCGACAACGAAATCTAAACGAAGGCGAGAATTCTCGGGGGCGTCTCGCGAATAGCGACGGGTATTTTTCACCTCTAAAAATATCGTCGGACCGAAAAAACCATCGGTACTCCTCGGGGGACGTCCACCCGGAATTCGGCGGTAGCTGGTCCGGCGGCGGCTGTACGGCGGCGACGGTCTCCGGCCGCCGCCGCTCCCCCGCGGCCGGCTGCCGCGCGGAAGACGCGAAAATGCGCGCAGGGTGAACGCGACCCAGTGCAGTCGGTGGCGGCGGCGGCGGCGGCGGCGACGGCAGCGGCGGCGGTCTCTCCCCCCAATCTGGTTTTTCGGCGGGCACGTTCGACCGGACCACCTGCCACCGACCGCGACGGGACCGTCGTGCTGCTCGTCGCAGTCGGCTCAATCGTCCGCTGTGAGGCGCGCGCTCGGCACCAACCGTTTTATATTCAGTTTTTTTACGCGCAACACCGCGGCCGCCGCAGCACGTAAACAATTACGCACTGTACCGCGGGCGCCTACAGAACGGCACGCGCATAACACGGACATCGCCGCCAGAGCCGCACCGCGCACCCGGCACCATGAAGCGGAAAGACGACGGGGCCGACCTGGACCATCACCTGAACATGATGTTGGAGGCCATCGAGCGGCTGGAACGGAACAGGTGTCCGGGCAGCCGGCGTTGGAGGCCCGACGCCAGGCCTCCGCTGATGCCGATGCAGGCCGAGCTCCGCACCCTGGAGCTCTGGCGGTCCGTCATGGCCGAGTGTCTGGCCACGTTCCTGTACGTGGCCGTCGTGTGCGGGGCGGCCACTTCGGACGCGTCCCCGGTCCTCGGCGCGGCCGCCGCCTCCGGGTTCACCATGCTCGCCCTCACCGTGTGCCTGCAAAACGTCTCGGGTAACGTATGACGCGTGTATCGAACACGCTGTACAACTGTGTAATATTATTGAAACACGCTATGGTCTGGACGGGTGTTTATTTGGCGGAGGGAGTGGGTGCCAATTTAGATTTCGCCGCCCGAATCCGGTTTCCTCTTTGGTCCGCGCGTTCGGTTGAGTTGACGTTTTACAAAGGCGAAAACGTCTCCGGAGTAACGTGTCAGCACACTTGTGTTGACGTATTATTGACGTTCTTAAACCTCGTTTACCGGCGAGAAAATCGCCGAGTTAATAATCTTATGTATATTATGCGTATAAAAATCACGGCGTACGACGAGTGCGATGCACTCTGAAACCAATCCACCGATTATGAGATAATGCTCGATGTGTGTGTGTGTGTGTGTGATTTGGTCCAACTCAAAAGGTCGGATAGTCTCCGACGTTCCTTGCTCAATCCCGTGAATTATATAGGGATTTTTAGGTGTTTTCTACACAAATATCTAATTGTTTGTGGAAATGTTGGGTAGAAAACTACTGTTAATACTGTTTTCACCATTATTCAGCAATAGCAAAGATCAGCTTAATATATGTGCAATATCGCTCGAAAATCCTTTGTCTGTAGGCGTAAATAGGATTTTCAAGTTACCGGAGCTCGAGTCTCCTGACGGATAGCTCCTCATCTCCCTCTGGCAGTCGAAATACTTATTACTTAGTCACGATGGTGGGAGTGGGGTGAGTGGGGGTTTTAAACACGCTTACGTATGATGAACCGTACGTACTAAATTATTTTGGGTGGACATTTTTGAAAGAAAGAGGAAGCATTGCGGTTACAAGGGAAATAAAGAAAATGTTTAAGCATTTAGAGTACACCTCTTGTAAATGAAGGAGGAGGGATAATTCAGTTATGTTGGCGTCTTTTTCGGCAGATTAAAACCATCTCGATATTTATATAAATTTTGTGCACGCTGACGCGAAAACTCGATTAAGATACACACGTGCAATGAAAATATTAAAACCTAATAAAAAAAAAAAAAGAAAAAGTGTCATTATTTTTTACGCGGTAATATTATTTATAGTGTTTACGCGGAGAAAGGGTTGACTTTTTTTTTTTTGTGTATATAATATAATATGCGGGTTCACGCGCGTGTTGCATACGCTTATGAAAGGTAGAGTTCGTCATGGGCATTTTTCAAGGGGGGCAAAGATAATTTAAAAAATAAATGATCCGTTCTATAGTTAATTACGGTTTTAGCCACGGGGTAGACCGTGTATATGGAATGAAAAATAACACATGGGGGCGATTGCAACCCCCTCCCCCCTCACACCAAACGATCGACCGAAAATGGAAAAATATAAATATAACAAAACGGTTCACCGTAAATACACACATCTATGGACTATATAATATATTGCAAAATCCGTTTTGAGTTTAGATTTCGGTCGAGTTTACACTGTGTTAACTATTATACAGAAGCCATAGAGACTTGGTGCCTGGACTGAAAAAATAGCGAACATGTTATTATTTTACTGTATACACAGCAGCTGCGGATGGTTTTAACAATTTCAACGCAGAAAGTAAAAATGTCGAACCGATGCAGTGATAAACATATTCTATCGATCCGGAAATCGTGTGATTTGACTTGGAACTTGCTGAACGACTTCGTGCGTCGGTGATACTGACGTGTACACACGATAACCGCGAATATTTATACGTCCACCGAATTCCAAAGCTTCGATTCGAGTATACTTCACTGCCGTCGTCGAAACGTCCCGTTTCGGACGCGCGACCACAGAAAGTCGACTGTTGACAAAATTATGGAAATCTTGTACGCGGATTTACCTTCAACCTATGTCTACAATCTCGCCGATATTGTGTGGACGTCGGCTATAAGGTTTTTAGTCCGGAACGCTGCAGTTCTCAAAAGTCCCGTATACACCCTATTCGCCACTGTTTCGCAAAGTCCAATATTATAACGTCTAAATAAACATACGCGAAAATGGATCGAACGGTTATCATATAGGTACGTTCACGGGTTCCTAGACCGGGTTAACTGCGCCGCACGTTCTGCAAACATAATGTTATCTATCATCGCGGTACATTGAATTCGCATCAGAATTGTGTGTACAGTTCGGGGGAGGGGAGAGAGGGGTAGGGACGGATGTGAACTGAAATTCGAGTCCGGCTCCTCTTATATAATACACAATAAACGAAATGATTATAATAGACGATATAGATATTATACACACGTGTCATAAACAAAACGTGTTCTGTGTAAGGCGGCAGATCGTGTTATTATTTATCGCCCCTCTTTTGTCGGCTTTTGCACAAAAGAAACGCTGCGCTCGGCGGCGAAACGTCCAAACCGTAAAATTCGACATTCATCAAAATATTGGCCCTCGCGCGCACACACACACACACACATTATATGCATTATAATAATAATACGAGTATACGAACATATTTTCCGTTTTGTCACGGTGAAATTATTAACGATATTAATTCATTAAGATCCGTTTCGAAAACACCCCCGGCACTTTTCGCAAAACCGTAATGTCGATATTCACGTATCCATTGCATTTTACTACGACCGCGTCTAATAAACACGGTACCATAAATATTTTAAATATACAGTGAAAACCGCGTGTAAACCCAATTAAAGGACCGAGAAAAATGTCCGGGTTACCGAAGTTTAGATACACGCGAAATCCAATTTGGCAATAGTAATAATAAGTCCGAGGAATTAAATATTTTAAAGACCGGCGGTTTTTATGGAAAAAGGCTCAAATCAAAAACGGTTACTTCACAGAAGGGAGAAAACACTATACTCGAGATCTTTACAGCGTTTACATTTTACGATGACTTGTTACCGTTTTCATTTTGACATGGTACTGTAAGAGCATTTATTTATATCGTCCCTTTATATTGAAAAAGAAAAACTGTTCAAATACTATATCTATGACTTATTGTCATAAACGCATTTCATAATATTTTCACAACCAAGTAAATTATACAGCGGCGCCTATCGTTCGACGTGACTTAAAATCGATGACGCATAAACCGAAAATGTCCAAAAGTCACTTTTAAACATGGCTCAGTGCTTATAGCACTTAAAATCCACAAAAGGCTCTGACAAAAATCGCTTAAAAATCTCAAACCAGGTATAGCCGTAACAGGAAGTACTTTTAAATCCCCGTACCGATTTTGCTTTTTTAAATGTATTTTCAAACGCTTTTAGGGTTTTTTTTTTTGGAACTTTTAAAGGATTTTTTCGCGGATAAGCGATTATAGTGCCGTAAGTCCCGGAGTCTCGCATACAGGCTCTTTCGCTTCGTAAAAACCGTCCGATATAATGACCGTTAGAAGCCGCGCGTGTAACGACGAAACCCGTACGGAGCCGCGGCCCCACGCGGTTAAACTGGTTACGGCGATTTCAAGCGTTTGCGTCCGAGATCGCGTTTTACCCGGTGTTACGCGTATTTATTTTTACCCAGACCCGGGGTAAACGCTGTACGTATAGTTGCGTTTTGGAACTTGTACGCGGTATTTTTACCGCCAAGTATACAAAGGCGACAGCGTACGCACGTAGGCAATGACGTCCTTGCGCCGTTTACGTTACGCTGTTGTATACACATGCAGGCGGTGCGACTAGTAACGGCGTACCCGTTTACACCTTTGCTGCGTGTATCTGGTGCGATGAAATGTCCGTGTAACCATAAAGCCCGTCGTTTCGTCGTAACGGTCATACGGACGTACCGATACAACATCGTGTTTTCGAACGGCGAAACGAACGCGTTTCATCGAAATTTCAATCGGGCAGACGGGTACGGCTGTATAATAGTATACAATACGGTGGGCGTTTTGGCAGAAATACGAGGCGACGTGTTACAGAACGATTTTTTTTTTTTTTGTGTTTGTTACCCATAAGTGTCTATTATTAACAATAAGCGCTGACGGAAATTGAAATAATAATTTGTTCGTATATTATTAGACTGCGTAAGTATACTTGTATATTTTCGATTCTTCTGAGTTCAGCGAAGCATGTATCGGTTTTACAAAGATATTTATTTATTTTTTTGTTCGAACACTTTTTCTACCGGTGAGCTTATTCCGATTATCGTGTATAACAGGAAATGTTCTTTGGTCGGTACTTTAGAGCGGTGTTTTTTTTTTTTTTGAAATTCTCATTAATATTCGAGATAACGAGGAAAATCTGGTTATTTAGGTTGAAAAAGATTGAAAGATTGAAAATAAGGTTGGGAACCGTTTTTATTTATTTTTTTGTTGTTTTAATTTTTTTTAAATAACCATTTTTGTCACGGTAACGCTCATTGTTTGTTATCATTTTACCATAATATTATGACATATATATTGTTGACAAAGCAACACTGTCAACTGAACACTCCGCTCAGAATCGTGTTTTCGTTAGCAATGGTTTATCGTTGAATTCCCGTCTGTACCCTACCTTTCCAACTTCCACGTGCGAACCATGTCCTTTCCCCTATACAATTTGACGCAGTCGCGGTATACACCAACAGATACGTGCCAAGGAAAACGGCCGCTGTTCAATAAGATGATCGTATCGGTTGAATTGACGATATTGACGAGAGTAGAGAAAATCAAAAAAAAAAAAAAAACCGTTAATTTTTTAATCGTTAGTCCGCGATAAATTTTATGAAAACGAGCGCCGCCGCGAATACGATTTGTCCGCGTCGTATACACGCGAGACGTGCCAGCTCTCGTTTTTTTTTCTTTTTTTTTGGATCTCGTCCAGTTATCCACGTCTTCCACGATGCGTTGCGGTGCGTTTTTCTAGGGCCACGGCGGTTTCGTCGGTTTTAATAATACGTATTTTAAAAGAACATTTTTATTATCGAGACGGCGGCGCGGTATTACAATAAAACAATATTATTATATACTTAACACTATCGTGTATTAATATCTCTACCCCGCGCCGCATTACATTCCCAAACATTTTGAGTGTGTGCGAGTGTGGGACTGTTTTTTTCTTCTCTCTTTGTCAATTCGATGTGTCGTGTGTATAAATAGTGGTAGTAGTAGTAGTTTAGTAGTAGTGGTATTGGTATGTATAGTTTCGTGTACCTATATTAAAATGTGTTTCCCACGTGCACATGCATGGAACCGTTCGTTCGCAACGTATATAGAATAAAAAAAAAAAAAATGTTTAAAAAACCATTCGCATTCGTCGTCGTGTAACGTTGAATGGAACGGCTGGAGAGAAAAAACGGGGGGGGGGAAATAAAAATAATAAACCTCTTGAAGAATTCGTAAATTATAATATTATAATATTTTATAATCGAAAACAACATAATCATAGTTACGTCCAACTCTATACGATCTACTTTAGTTCAATAACACCGTACAAATGAAACACTCAATTTCGTATGGATAAATTAAACAATTTTATGGTTAAAAAAAAAAAAAATATAGTAATAATAATATATTACGGGCATTAAGTATATAATAATATTATGTGGCCGAAACGAATCCAAAGTTAATAACTGTGTATTATATTATAAGTACACCTAACCGTGATGGACGGCCGGAGGGCGCGGGAGGTTACTAATACACCTGGTTCGTGCGCGCTGCGGACCCCGCGGTAGGCGACACGAAAATGTCGGTGGTATAATATGAGTTTTTTTTTTTTTTCTCTCTCTTCGTTAGTTTCCCCTCGAGTTCCGTCGGCGGCCCGTTTCACCTGCACCAGCGCTGTACGATATATTTTATGACCATTCACCGTTTCCGCATGGCCGAGGGACCCGGGCATTACGTATAAATAACAACAGTCGAAACGTGCACGGGACAATGTCCCATCTACCCCCGGCACGTACGCTTACGGACGCGTAAGTAACAGCCTTTGGCGGAAAAAGTCAATTACAACCTTCACGGTTACCTACCCGTGTACGGTTTAAACCGTTCTCGGCGATGTTGCTTACCGCAATAATTGTTTGATAACAGAATGCACTTCAAACACCCACCTATTATATACCGTGTGCCATAATACTTTTTACAATCGATATCTTTTTACGGTTGCGCGAAACGTTTTTCGGCTGGATTGTCTATAATATTATACCTACCCTAACCAACATATACATTTCGAGCTTCTATATATATTGACAGTTCAATCATTTTTCTCCCCGTTTAAAATCTGTCGAGTTTCTCTTCATTTTTCACTCCGTGCGTTTTAAAATTGTTCCCAACGCGCGTTTTAGACGGTTGTATCTCGGCAAATTTTCGAGATAGAAAAAACCGGTACAAGGCGAAAAATCTTAAAAAAAAAAAAAAAATTGGATCACTATCTGGATTTAACGCTAATAAACTTGTACATAACATAGGCGTGTCTGTATTCGAGCAAATATCATCCAACGTTGTATACTTTTGCGCGCCGCAATAAGGATTTACGTTTTGAAAATTGGCTCAAAATGCGTTCCTATCTGTACTGTTTAGGCGGTACATCCCCACATCTTCCGAGAAAAAAAAAAAAAAGTTTCATTTCGAATCCACCGTCCGGCTGCAATATTTCGACCGTTCGAGTGAAAACAGTGCTGTTGTACATGAGCCGTTTCGACGAGCAAACGTGCACGAATCGGTGTAAATTTCGACTCGTCTGCAGCCGGGGCCCGCGGAACATATATACTGTATAATATATTTTTTATATAGATTATTTTTTTTCGCCGCCCCGGACCAGATCGTTTATTACGACGAGTCACGGGGTCGGTGTGTCAATGAACCGCACGCACACATAATAATAATAATACGAATTATATACATATGCGATGTATACCTATCCCGGATCCCTCGTGATAAAATATAATCTATACCGCAGAGTTAAATTGGCCGGCGAATAAGGGTGAAGACAATACTGGCTGTTATATATACACGGGCGCACATGTTCGCCGCGGACCTGGTTGGCTGCTCTCGAAAAAAAGCGTTTAGAAAAAAAAAAAAAAAATTTGTTTCCCCTCCTCTGTCTAGGTGGCAATAAAAAACGCTATATCGGTTGACAATTGGCACTTGAGTCGTCGCGCTAAAAATTATGAATATATGTATACATAAGGGCTGTAAGTGAATCGGGGTGTCGCGCCTACGGCGGTGAGGGGGAAAGGCACGGCGATAGTATGACTGTGTACGAGCGATACGGCGGAGAGGAGAACGACGACAATGAGATAATGATTATGTCCGACGAGATTATATAGGTATACGTTGTATATTATATAGAGCATCTGTTGTGCGTATAAAAAAAAAAAAAAAAAAGGTTTTGACCCCCGACGTGTTCGCGGGTCGCGAAAAACCGCACGGACCGCGTAACAATAAAGAATATTTTATTATTCGCCTATATCGGGCGTGTTTTCCGTTTCCCCGCGTTTCGGGGGTGATTTTCGTTTTTCGACTAAACAACCTAAAATTCTAAATAAATTTCGGGTATGCGGGCGTCCGTATAAGATCATTTTCAGAGGATGGACAAACTCGAAGCAGGTTTCAAACACGCGTTTGAAGACTAATAATATGTTGTCTCGGAAGACACTTTTTAGTAAAAATGCTCCGCGTAGTTTCACACCGAGCTATCGAAGATGCGGATGTTTTGCACAGTATAGTACTTTGTTAAACGAAAACTCACGCAACAGATATGAAATGCGATTGAATAGATAAAAAAAAAACAGAAAGTTAAATGCTAAATTACTTTTTTTAAAAAATCACGACGATATAGCTATTTTTATTATTTATTTTTTTGTTTTGTTGATCTCCGGGTTACTTTTTGCTACCAGAGAAAAAACAGGACTAATACTATATCTAAATAACTTTAGGTATTAGTTTACTGAGCTCCGCTCAATATCGTTTGGTACACCTATATTTCACGATACTATACTCGAAACCCGACTGTTCTAAAACTGAAAATATGGTCCCAAAGTTGTGATCCGAGTTTCTATATTGTTATTACCCCATGTCCATGCGCTATTTAGGTTTCCCGTTTTATTTATTAACCCGAATGGAACGTCAAAGGAAAACTCTAGGGGTTTTAGCTTTTATACACGATGTATTCCCGTCCGCAAACAGCTACAATAATTTTAAATTCGTAACACAATTTTTCGCTGCACCGTTTCGAGAGGGAACACGCAGCATTTCTATACCTACTGTCGAACGCCGTTATAATGGTGTAAAAAAAATTTACCAGCTCCTAACCGCAGCAGACGCGCCGCAAGAAATGACGATTATAAGTTTTATGGACGCCAAAAATATATATTCTCGAGAATTTCTAGACGCGGTTTTGGCAATCGCGACGAAACGTATTGCGTTTTCGCCGTGTCGCTGTTAATAAACGCTAAATGAATAATAATAATAAAAGCCGATTAAATTTAGCGTCGGGAGTATTTATCAATGACGACTATTAGGTATATTCGATGGTGTTTTTTTTATTAACGCGTACTTATTTGTCACGTTGATGCCGCACGCGTATTGGCATACGTGCAATGTCATTAATATTATAATAGCAGTTTATGTACCCACTACTTGCTTAATGCGTATGCAACGATAAATCATTGCTAACGAAAAACCATTCCGAGCGGAGTTTAGTATTAGTCGCGCGTTTTGTTCCTTGATTCCAAGGAGCCCTGAAATCGAAAAACTAAAAAAAAAGCGATTTTTTTTTTAAAAAGTACATTAGTATTAAGAAGTATTGAGCATTTTGAAAAACGTTTCAAATAAAATGTGTCGGGCGAAAAATCCGTAGTTTTAAGTTGGGTAACTTTATGTATAACACGAAAATATCGGAACGTTACTAACCGGGGAAAACAAAAAGCTAATGAAATTAAAATATTAATGACATTTCTGTTCGTTTAAAATTAACAATTACGTTAGAAAAAAATAACTATTCAAACATAATGTTCGGTCGTTTCGATTTAATATGTGATACCGCGGTCTACACAAAACGAACTCAACCTTTCGCGAAAACATGATAACATATTGTAAGACAAAAAAAAAAAAAAAAAAAAAAAAAACACATTAAGTAAACCAAATCACAAAGATAGATTATTGTACTACTCGTATTTTTTGTATACTCGGTTACATTATATACCATTCATACCGATGAATATAAACGCGTTCAAGTGTTGAACACATTGTTTGAATAATTTTGACGCGCAACATCTGTTTATAGTTTAATTATTTTTTTTTGTCATACTGTTGTAATACACGACGTTATCTTTGTCTTTGTCTTTCACAGGACGTGCACATCACTGCAGTAAGAGCGTATAAAATATTATGTTCAAAACCTCGTATAAATAATAAATAATTGAGAAATATTGTTGTAGGTCTAATACGTCATTTTGTTTTATTTATATAACAAAGAACAAGCATAGTAATAATAATAATACGAAATAAACAACTTTTTAGAGGACGCCTAAACGAACGTTTGACATAATTTCACGTGGATGACGATCGAAAACTGATCAATATTTTGTTCGGTATAAATTTATCCGTTGATACATTTTAGCTTTCTGCGACTTCTAATGTTGTATCAGCTATACCAGTGGTTTTCAACCTGTGCGTCGCGGTTCCCAGGGGCGTCGTGGTTTAGTGTCGAGGGAGCTGCGGCTAAAGTAAATAGAATAGTAGAGTAATACAGTAAAGTTCTTTATTTACGTTTTTAGCGGCTAATTTGGATTTCAAAATCAGAAGAGCCGTGGACCCAAAAAACCACTGAGCTATATTTTACGCGCCCGTTCTCTCTATGGTTTCAATCCGTATAGATTGGTTTGCAGCCATCTTCCATTCTTCTCTATTACATCCGCTTTTTTGTTCATTTCTATACAACATGAGTTGCATCCTTTGTCCTTCTGTTGAACATACTCTAATCTTGGCCTTCCCACCCACCCGTATGTAAAAAAATATGCAAATACTAAGGGAAAATGTCACGAAAAATATCCTCGAATATTAGGATTTTATTTTCCATTCGATGCGTTAGTTAATATTTTCAGTTAATATAATACGAACATTACGGTTTGTCTATTTCAGGAGGACATATAAATCCCGCTTTGAGCACGGCTATGCTGATCACGAGAAGAATAAGTCCCGTAAGAGCCGTTATGTTCATAGCCGCACAATGTGGCGGCGCTGTAGGTGGGGCTGCGATAATCTACAGGTAAGGTACCTACTTAAATATACTCAAACGGTTACCCACAGGTAACCGTTTGAGTGGAATTTTGCTATACGTATATTTTACACGTACTCGTGTTAAACGGCCCTATAGTGGCCATAAGCGGCACTTGTTAGACACGAGAGTGCAAAAATGATCACTGTACTAGGCAACAGCCGTTTTTCCGATGAAATCAAAAATATATGAAATAATATAACAATGGTCGTTTTAGTGCATCGAAATATAATACTTCAGCTATCTGCTAGTTTAGAAACGTGGAATTATTTTATTTGACATGCTAAACGTATAAATAGTTAATACGTTAGGTTTTTTATCATGTTAAATTAAATTTACTGTACGTTTATTACAATCGTAGTTTGATGTAAAATCTTAAACCGTAATATTGATTAAACTATTTTTTATCAATAGAAACATACACAAATTTAAATATATTTTCTGTTTAAACAAATCTGTAGGTACTTGTACCTAAGGTTCACGTGTGAGTTCGATTTTTAAATTGGGTGTTAATGATCCTGTAGTTACACATTATCTACCAACTTATAATAATGAGCTTGAAAATGTGCAGGACACATTTTTAAAGATCGTCTATCATATTTAAGATTCCACTATTCAGAGACTTTACAAATGTTATTCAAGAATACATAAGACTCGATAGTCTCGATGAAATCTAACAAATAGTATGTAGGTTCCTAGTTCATCTTTGGTATTTTTCATTGTTTTATTGTTTGCTCTGATTCATTAATTTTAATCGGATTCCGAATTTATCGTTAATTTACACACAATTTTGTTCCTTTCGTTATTCCATCTTACAACACCAACAGCGGTAATTTTTTTACTCTTTTAGATATAATTTTTCAGAATATCTAAGAGGACGCCACACCGACATCTACTGTCTCCGTTTTACAAACGCAAGGCAGCAATTTTGAGTTCAGTAGGACATATTTCGTGCCGTTAGTTTCAATATTAAAACAAATTGACCCATTACCAACATTAAAGGCGAGAAGATTATATTATACGCCCTGGCGTTGACGATTTTTCGATATTTTTGTTTTTAAATGAGACACGGAGTGTGTTAAATATGACACTTTAAAAATGATTATATCTTGTTTAAAAATTAAAATACCGTGCAAACATCAACGCTGGAGCATACATTATAACCTTCTCATCTTTAAGTTTGGTAGTAAGTCGTAAAAACGCGTTTTACTGAACGCAAATTTGCTATGTCTCGCGTTTATAAGACGGATGGCCATAGATGTCGGTATGGCGGGCCCTTTTTTAAAAAGGCCGACCTTTAAAACAGAACCTGTGCGCGACATATTCTATAGACTATTATTAATGCATTCAAAACGATATCCTGCTGGTATCGCGTACCCAGCAAATTTAATACATCGCGGTACTATCGGTTTCTACAGCGTTTCCGCCCGCAACTACTTCACCAGCCTGTACGACTTGCCGAACACCAGCACGACCCCGTGGCAGCGTTTCAGCTTAGGGCTGCTGCTCATGTTCTTCATCGTGTTCACGTATTACGTGACGAATAATACGTTTCACAAGTGGACCGGAACTTCGGCGACGGCAATAGGAGCTGTGTACTTCGCGTGCGGCCTGGTCGCGGTAAGAACACAAAAAAAAAACCCCGATTTAATAAAATATTTTATATTACGTACCTGTTTATACTAAGTAGGTGTATTATACTTTTTGCAGATGCCATTTATAAATCCGGCATGCGCGTTCGGACCAGCGCTGGTGATGAACCATTGGGATAATCATTGGGTAAGTTGAATATTATTCAAGGTGTTTTTTTTTTTCTTTTCTAAATTATAATATCTACTACAGATAGAACGTACTGCTCAACGCGATTGTGTGGTATACAATCAATTTTTCATAAATTCGTAATATTATTAATTTTCTAATCAAAATAAATTTAATTGATTTTTTTATTTATCTTATATTAAACTTCGGCTATTAGTTAGAATAATTTACGTTTTACAGTAACTTTGAATATCTAACTAAAGAATAGGCACTGCTACAATAAAAACGATAGATAATATTGTATAGTAAATACATTTAAGTAGGTAACACGTATATTAAATAATCATTTTTAACTATTCTCAAAATATTAATGATTTAGGTTAAGAATTAGACAATTAATTAATTAAACAATATACAATAGGTACACTATTATAGTTAGGTAATTATTTTCAAACAATTCAAGTGTAATAAATTATAACGTGTCTTAACTGCATGTTAAGACAATAGTTTATTCTCAATTCAGGTATTCAAGTTATATATCCAACTTTTATTTAAAATTAAAATTACATATTTAGATTATTAATTTATACTTAATATCTAATTTAATCTATTGATAGGTATCCAATATATGCAATTGAAAAAAAACTCTAGTATAAAAATACATGAATGCAATGAAACATGTACTTGACTACTGAAAGCTGTTTTATACAGTTATTTAAGGGACTAATATAAAGTAGGTAGGTAGGTAGTAAGTTTCCAAGTTGTACAAAACTATTTGACACATAATTAATCATTACCTACTTACTATCAATAGGTTTTTATTGTATGTATATATCATTCATTATTTATAAATATATATTAATATTATAGTCTGTAGTAGAAACATTGATTGAGCAATTAATAAGGTAGCGATGTAGACATCAAATACATAATTTACTATAATATTTCATTCACATTGTATATAAAGTATTATCCAATAACACTATAATAAAAATGCAGGTTTATTGGTTTGGACCAGGAGCAGGAGGAATAATTGCCGGGGTTGTATATGATTTAATATTTAATGCTCAAAAACGAAAAGCCTCATTAGATGATTTACAAGGTAAGATAACACACATATAATAATAATAACACATTATTATTCTGTTGGATAAAAGCCAAATTAATAATGATATTTGTTTTAACAGATGATGAGAATCTATGCCAGATACAAGTACCACATAAAATCATTCGACCAGCTCTTTCTCCTCCAACATTAACGGCTGATTTAGATTTACCAGAACCTTTGTATGAAGGGAGTAGATCATTGTATACTCGTTCACCAGTTTTGACCAGAGCAAATTTAAGTCGATCACAGTCATTGTATCATTCTAAATCCACACACAACTTACCCCCTCGTGATTACTTGCCAAGGCCAGGACCCTTATTACCAGCACAATCATTATATCCAATGACCACTACAGCCGGTACAACAGTATGTAATGCTGATAGAGCAGATAGGCCCGATAGGCAAAACCAACAAAACCAACAAAGACAGTATGAACCGCCATATGGTACTAGGAATACACCAGCAGTCAACGCCAGTGGCCATCATAATGGTAATTGTGATTTATAATACATTATAATGAAACTCGTATATAATATACTAGTGTTTTTACTACTGACTTATCAATATTTACAGGAGTGTATTCAAAAACTACTAGATCAGAAACATATAGACAATCGCCAAAAGATCCATCGGATGATCTTTATGGAATTTATAACAATTCTCAAAACAAATCACAAAACCATCACGGTAATCATACAAGGAGTGAGTATGTTTATCGATGGACTCCACCAAATTCAGTCATGCATGAGTACACTTAAATGTGTTCATAATAATACTATGTACAGTTCATTTTGTAAATAATTATTTTTAATTGTAAAATATTTTATGTAAATATATTTTTAATTTTATATTAACAAATATTAACTATTATGGTACAAATAGTTTGTTTGCAGTATATATAGTATAATATATTACTGTTTTTGTTTTTATATATTACCAGTTATATTTAAGGAACAATATTGTTATTTGACGATTTATTGGAATTGAAAAAATAATGTGTCGGTGTACTATGACACAAAATTTTAGACGTTTGAAACAATTTTCGTGAGTACCAATGGCATGCTCGGATAGGTTGTTCGCTATTTTTTAAATTGTTTAAAATATTCCACTCCACATCAGTAATTGGTGTATATTCTTCTAAAATACTCTTAAGTTTCTCTTCGGTACAGTGTACAAACGGACAACATCCTTCATCTGATACTTCCATAGTTAATTTCTAAAACAAATACAAAAATTAATGTTAGTCTAAAATTACAAAAATTAATTTAACATACTTGCATTTCTGCGCACGATTTCATTTGGTATTTTTTTTTTGATCCTACCAAGCCATATGTGTGTTGCACATTATATTCAATTTGTCTATGATGTCCTTTCCAATTATGTGTGCATGCACTTTTTAAATTTCCACATTTGGAATATTCCCGTTCAAATAACATTAAAGTCTGATCTATAGGTACACCAATGTCTTTTAAAAACAATGTTAATAGATAACGTGGATGATGTGTAAGACGATGGTTTGCAGTTAATGAATTTAACGATATTAACATACAAGGAGGCAATAATTGTTTTTTTAAAAAAAGTTCATCCAAAGATATTTGTTTGTTAATATTTTTCCAAAATGCTATTTTAGAATTGTAGAACCAATTTATTTTATCTTGCAGATATTCAATTTGCAAACTTTTTTCTGCTAAAGTAGATATAGAACGGTGTATACGATACAACGATTTAATATAAATTAAACGAAACAGATCAACTAACAGAATATTCCATTGACTGCATGGCACAATTGCAATGCCTTCAATAAGGTTTATTTTTCGACTTGACACTAATGTAGGACATTTTTGCCAAGGAACTAGAAATAAAACAGTTTAAATTACTAAAGTAATAAATAACTGATACACATTTAGTAATACTATAAACAAACCTTCAATATACTGTTCATTACAATTTTCAAAACAAGTTGCATGTGTCTTCTTCTTGTATTCTAAACACACTTTTAGTAAAACATCAATATTATCATCAGTAAGACTAAAACATTGAATATCTTCAATAATTTTATTTAAGTATTTTTTAAAGAAATTTGGCTTCAACAGTCGCTCGGTAATTAAAGAACATTCTCCTTCTATGATAGTTTCTTTTAATGTACAATCGTCAGTTAAACTTGCATGAGTTCTGAAATAATAATGAACACATAATTAATTTAATTGTATTAAAATGTTATATGTTACATAATTTCCAACAATGGAATTAATAAACTTAACAATTTGTTCTAATTTTAATGAGATTCAAAAAAAAAAAAAAATATTGAACTAAAATTTAATAAATTCAACATTATATTAGAAAACAATATAATGTTTATTAATACAATCTTGTCTTAGTTTATGTTATTTAATGCTAATTGTAAAAATAAACTAAACATCAGTCATTTTACCATTTCATCCTTCAGAGCGCTTAAGTTGTGAGGAAATCAAGACAGTTAAGAATGGTTGTGATATTGAAATATAAAAATTAATTTCAAAGTAATTTCATATTTTTACAAAATACATAGATATATACACTTGAATCATAAGAAATACAACATATTGATTAGATATGATGTCATGTAACCCATTTGAAAATTTTAATTAAAATCATATAGAATTTATTATTATCAGATTGATATTATATTATACTATCTAACCTGCATATAAATTACTGTTTTTATTACTAATGATGAATTTCTGAATTTCATTATTTAATTCTGGTTTTTTAATTTATAAGTAAAAACACAAAAAAAAAAAGTTAAAACAGTGAGCAATTATACAAATGTCAACAAATGAATCAGGTTTCATTTACATACAGTTTTACTCATGTACTTATGTATGAATATGATTTAAAAAATGAAAACGATTAATAAAAAAATATGTTTAAACGCTATATATATAGTCGAATCAGTGTCGGCCAGGCCATAGCTACTAGGCCGCGATCGCAGCGCCGAGATTCATAAAATATCGTTCTTTAACTACTGACTGTCTTTAGTATAAAAGATGGGTACCTACATAGTAATGTTTAGACTTTAGTTGACTATTGCATAATACAGTAAAATAATAAAAATATAATCATAATTGTATAAACAAGTAAATGTATACACAAAATATTGGAAACTGAAATGTCACCGAAAATTGCTTTTGTGAATTTAGCATATTTATAATATTAGATAGGTATTTACCTACCCGTGTTGCCACGAAATCCATTGTTATTCAAAAAATATAATCAATTAATGACACTGATACGGAACCCAATATCACACTGAATTTCATAGACTTTGTATTTTTCATCTATGAGGCATGGGCCTTAGGTGTACCATGCCGACACTGAGTTAAATACAAAGAAATCTAGTTAAGCTACTACATATTTTAGATGTATATAAAATTAATCAAATATAAATGTCAAACCTAAGACACAGGAACCCTGCGTAGTCTAGAGGTGTCAAATTTTTTAGATACTCTTTATTCTTTGGTTTGTCTTTCAACTTAGTATAGGTGGCAAAATGCTCCAATCGAACTAAAGCAGAATCTTCAACATCAGTTATGGATACATTTATGTCTGGCACATGTAAATAGAACATTTTTTTTGATGTCCACCTACAAAAACAATTACAACAAAAACAATTGGTAAGTTATTTAATGTTATAAATAATGTGAAAATAATATTGTGTAAACAAAACTCAATCTACCGGCATTGATATTTACTCAAATGTCAATTAACATTATACGACGTTTAATATGTGACGTTTGAATATTGTTCGTGAGACTTGAGAAATAAAGCAACAGATTTTAAAATTTAAATCACTAACTCAATAAATATTATTCATTTTTCTTATCTTATCAATAAGTGCTATTATCGTTATCTTTATCTGGGGAAACGCAAACAGTTGATTGCACAGGCGATATAGATTATTGAGTAATGAGAATCATGAACATAATATCAAGACACGCTGATAAGAATATTTTTATTACTAATATTATTATTATTATTACTATGTACCTATTAATATTTAATATATAATTATTGATATTCTTATTACTCTATGATGTAGATACGGATACCTGGAAATGACGTTGATATGGAAAAAAGGGACAATCGGCTCCCATCATCAATTTTTTATACAGACAATTGGTCCCCGGCCAATTTTTTATTGATATAAAATTAATGAATAGGATAAGATAAGAAATGAATTTTTGTCGGTAATAATTGACAAGGGCTGCCAAATATCTTGATTTAAAAATTATCATTTTTAGTACCTATTTTAATTGACATTATATACGTTTTTAATTTTATACCGATGAACTTTAATCATAAAATAATTATAATATTATAATTAAAATGTAAAACCTTTAGTAAGTAAATATAAGTTGAACAGAGGAAGTTTTATTTTCTTTTGCATGGACAAACATTTTTCTATTTTTAATAGTTTTAATAGGTAGGTACCAAATACCTAATCACTTTTCAAAAGTTGAACTTTTAAATTATCTGTATAGTAATTTAGCATAGCATTTTATGGTTTAAAATGTTTTGTATTTAACTTTTTAATTATTTTAAAATTATAATTCAAACTAGTTATATTATACCTATTGCCATTTTGTATGTTTTAAAAGTACATGATTATAAACAGTCCGTGAACATTTTCTAACATAAATTGTTTAAGTGTATTTTTATAAAAAAAAAAAAAAAATAATTGTATTATTATTATCTGCGTTACTATCTGATGACTCGAAGTAATGAATTACCTAAACATTTAAATCTTTATTTATCCGATGTTCAAGTGTACCACAGTATACAGCATACAGATGTATAGTGTATACAGTATAACCGAACTCTTCACAGAATTGTTTTTCGTTAGCAATGATTAATCGTTGTATACAGATACCTACCTATACATTATAATATATACCTATACACAATGTATACATACATTTTAGATTTCAGAAAAAGCGCTATCATTTAAAATCGCAGATAGAAGAGTTGTACACGGAAAAAAAAAAAAAAAAGCCATAATATTGTAACGTCCAAAAACGACCATTTCCCGTTATCAAAGGACAAGCATGCCAACCATCGACATGGTCAACCGGTTAATAGATTACGCCCGCGTCGACGGATATGTCATGTCATCATGAACAACAAGTCCCCCCTCCCCGCGCAAAGGTTTATGCCGATCGCAATCTGTTGCGATTCGCAATAATATTATATTTCTGACTACGGGTTAACGGCCAATCACCTCACGTTTCCCCTTATCGCCGAAAACGTCGGCCCGCGGAGACGCGTGCCACGGACGTCTCCGCGCTCCGCTACGCAGTTTCCGTATTTTCGTTCTTCGTGTTCAGACCTCGTCCCGGGACACATTGTCACCAAGACGGTCTTTCGATGCGGTTCTCTTAATGAAACATTCCCGTGCATTGCGCGGATTCACATAATTTGCCGTCAAGAAAAGGTCGTGTACCCCTTGGCACTTTTCACGATGGTGCCACAAACGAATCAATGGAGTGAGTCCCGATCTGGTCGGCCGGGCGGAACCAATGGTAATATGTATGTGATTTAATAACTGGCCGATACCGCGTTAGTTAGTTAGTTTTTAAGGTAATTTAATTAAGTGTTTTCTTTTTATGTCAAATCCTCCTGATATACTTATGGGAATCAATTAGCTAGATTTGTGTGTCCGTCTCATTATGCTAATCCCCGCGTTCCACATCCGAAGTGCGATAGCCCAAAACCTCCCCCACCCCCGTATTTTGTTGCTTTCTCTTATTTTCCATCTCCTCTAAGTGCTAGGTTTCGCATCCACGTGTGTGATCATCCAATAAAGAAATATATATATATCGATTTTCCCCATTTCGCGATCCAGATTCGGACGCAGCCCGCGGGTTCACCCGTAGGGCCGCCGAAGACCATTCAAGATGGAACAAAAAGCGTTTCCGCTACCCTCCCCGGTGGTAATTTATGCGACCTGGCAACCGCACAGTCCTGCCGGGGTCTCTCCAATACACGAGGTGCCCACGAACATTCCACGCGGGAGTACGTCTCTGTCAATGTCCATATCGGTCAACACACACACGCGGATGTGAATTTATCCTTACCCATACATATAATAAGTCCCGGCCTGCACGTTCAGCGTGATGCCACTATCTATGTCCGGACAACACTTTCCACTGGTTGACGCCCCAATCAATGTACATGTATTTAAAATATAAATTGTCTGTAAATATTTGTTTATAAGCTTATATATATTAATGTTATAAGTCGTACCTATTATTCATTATTTTTGTAGTAATACGAAAAATAGGAAAAATAAAAAGGGGGGAGTAGTGCTAGGGGAGAGTAGTGCTAGGGGGGATATAAAGTTGTGTTAGGGTGAGATAGTAATAGACTAAGACACTAAGTATAGTAATAGAAGACAAAAATATTTAAAATGATAGGATNCATAATAAAAGTTCAGCCTACTTATTATATTACTACTTTCCCTACCGATGTTTGAAAGGGATCCGGAGTCGTGAATCCGAGAATAGTGACGAAATCAATAAATAAAGAAAGATGTAATTATTTTACCTGCCCACGGTGTTGGAACGCTAGGGTGTACACTTATGCATAACCTCACGTGATCCTGGAGTCGTTGGACGGCAATCACAATTTAATTAAGATAAACTAATTTAATTAATTAACACTTAGCACCTGTGTGCACTCAGATAAAAAATGCTAATCTTAAAATTAGGAAAATAAAAGGTTGAATTAGAAAGTAAATTAATAAATAAATCGAACACGAGTGATTTCAGCTGCTAAATGCCGGAGCTAACTATTCGAAAGAGATCCTCGAAAGAAGTTGGTGGAGCGTAGTTGTTGCCATGTGCATGATTTTCGACAGAGTGATCGTCTTGAGATTTCTCGAGGGGTCAAGACGCTTCATTTTCAATTGGAAAAACCGTTAAATTTTATATGTTTAAATAAGCCAAAAAGTCAACCATAAAAAAAAAAAATAGTGTTATGCGTTGATTTGAAATTTTTATAGAAATAATTGTAATGGTATAAAGTGCGAGAGAATGATGACAACACGGCGGTATAATCAAAGGGTCGATTGATGTGCATCTATTGCTTAATTTTATTTGACTTATATTCGAATGTTCTTAACGAAAGTAATAGGTCGGATATTGATTCTTCTCGAATGATAAGAAAACCATTGGTATTTGTGGGCTTAAAAAGACAGAACAGATGGCCTTCGCGTCGATGTCGATGTAGAANCGATGTAGAATAACTAATAAACGAATTGTGAAAATAAGATAATATACAATAATATGACTGAGGCGACAGTGTCCTCAAAAGGCCGCAGCAGATGGCATGCAGTTCTATTATATTTGACACATTTTAAATTATTTTGCTTGTAGATAAGCTTGTATTCCTCTCGAATAGCAAACGATCCGTTATATTTATTAAATTATTTACCTTTTGTAAAATACCAAGTACTCGGCCATACTTGAATCTTTAGTTACATTTTTGTAATGATATAAATAATAAATAATTATACAGTTATAATATTATGTTGTGTGAGCATAACATTGCATTTCTTAATTAACAGTTTTTATGCCCTGGGCTTTTCTGTTATACGAATTTAAATTTTACTCTTGATTGATAAATTACATAAATAATTATAATAATTATATACCTTCCCCCAAGAAAACCACGTGTTTACTTATTCAAATTCTCTTTTTTTTTTTCCTTCCTCACAAAAATCTTAGGACTCCGGTCTTCGAACCTCGGTTCTAGGCTGGTGACCTTCCCACTAGGCGGGTAGTCAGCTGGGCACTCGGGTCGGTTCTCAAACAAGGCCGACCGAACCGGGACGTCTTAATATTTTTTCACTAATACCTACATTTCGTACATTTTCAGTTTTCCGACATTTTATCCCGGTTTTTCCCAGATATTATGAAAACCGCTTGAAAAATCAATAAACGACTTCTCTGAATTATCACGGAGACAAAATTTCGTTTCAGAAAATAAACTATACTTGATACATCGGAGCAAGACTTCCGGTAGAATAGTTCGCGCAAAAAATCGAGGGGTATTTTGCGAATCAAATAGTCCAAGGGAGCGATGGCTTGGGTTTCTAGGTACATCCAAAATGCATTTGTTTTTCCTTGTTCAGGTAAAAGGGAAAAAAAACGCAAATAATTTTTTTCATTACATTGGTTTGAACTTGGAACGCCTAGGATGATAATAGGCATGAATAACCATTCGATTACGGTAAATGTGCTTTAAGAATGATAATATTATAGAGTTATTTAACATAACATATAATATCCGCACAATATCAGAACTTTAAAAAGTGATAATTCCGAAACTTAGTCAGTCTGCTTAATTCTGAATTCACCACCGTTCTTAAATAGGCAGTATACATATGTTCAAAAAAAAAAAAAAAATTGAAAAATTAGATTTGTTCCACATAATTTTTTTGTCAAAATTCGATATTTAAATTCTTATATAAAAAAAAAAAATGTTACATTAAACTTAACTTTTTTTATTGATCACTAAGTATAACTTATACTGAACCTCCTGTTAAAGTTTTAAGCATTTATGTTTGGTCTAACGATTTTATCCACAGAGTACCTACCGAATAAAAATTGCGTAAATAACTTACAAAATTAAGATGTCTATAAATAGATTAAAAATAAATCAAATGTTTTGAAGATTGTATTACGTTTAGAAAAATTAAATATAACTTTTCTGTCTAAATTTAAAGTCTCTACAAACATTTTTAACTGAATTACAAAAAAAAACAAAATTGAAATTAATAAAATTATTATTTTCGTAAATTTTCCAGTTTTTCCCTAGTTTCTTTT